CCACTACGGCGTCTCTCATAATCATATGGTGGTTTTGGGACGTTAAACCCCACAAATCAATGTTGACTCAGTTGATAGTCAGCGTAGATACTTGGGGACAGCGCAGGCACAATAGTTGAGCTAAGTCGATCTTTCGGCTGCTGGACAGGAAGGGCGGACTGCATATATCTGCAGTGATCGGCGTGTTGGTTTGCGCAAGTTGACGCATTCCGAACCACCGCGCCGTCCAGGCAGAGTGCCCAGGAATCCACAAGGCTGGCCAGAAACTGCACAATAAAAAAGCACCGCACTAGGAATGAAAAGTTCTTAGCAAGCGCTATCAGAACAATAACCTAATCTTTGCGAACAGTAGCTTTGAGGTCACTGAAATGCTGTGCTTGCGTCTTGCTGACGTAATGATACAGCTGAAGCTCAGTCAACATGTCCAGAAATTTTTCGCAGAATTCATCTGGTGTTAAAATAATTGTTTCAAATGCACAACGTTTGCCAGATACCCCCTGTTGAACTTGGACGTTGTCTATAATATCAGAAGCAAAGACAGGAGCGGTGCGCAGCAGTCTTTCAACATAACCTATACCCGGACATTTGCCGCAATTGTGAAACATGCAGTCTTCAAAGCTCATGTTACAAACTGTCTTTTCTAGCAGTTTAATGTAGCTTTCCTTCTGTCCACTAGCGAGCAGCATGAGCTTAATCTTTTTGTGAAGCATGCATACACACACACTATGCGTTCCGCTTCCGCCGGCTAGTAGCAAAGCGTAGGCTCGCAAACGTGGAAAACACGCATTTCATGCCTGACATATAATTTCACTCGGAGTGCATTTCCTTGAAGTTTAAAATCAGCAGATGTGTCTGGTGCCCCCGGATCCCGTCTTTCTTGCCTGGCAGACAGTACGACACAGAATCATCCTGATAAAATTCTTCCACGGATTTCTTACTTCTTCGCTCATGCACCACCCTTTCTTCTTAGGTCTTGTTCCCAGGACTCCGAAGTCCAATTTAACTTTCTGCGCTAGTCGTACTTGTCTTTCAAGTGCCCCAAATGAGCTCACAATTTTTTACGTGACAAAAAATGTGGTGCTAGCGTCAAGATTAACTTCTTTTTTTTGTCGTTTTCTTCACGGATCTTTTTCACCAAGTCTTCCATAAAAAATGTAATCAATTAAATGAAGGTTTTCTTCCAGATTCACAAAGCCCAGGTGTGACGCGCCATCCCCGGTACACGTGGTCTGCTCTTCGTGTCGCTTTACGCTAGACTGTTTTATTTGGTTTCTGACATCCAACACATTTTGATTTCTGTTGCTTTTGGGCTGGTTCTCCTTGGTGCTCTGACAGAGCATGGCTTATTGCTTGGAGATAATGTAGTATCCTATTCCTCCAAGTCCATGTGACCTTCCGGAGCATCTCTATTGCAGTCTCGAAAGTTGGGTTCATTCTTATTCATTGCGTAACACCATCGACTGCAGGTCTTGCAAAGCTTCTCGCCTGCCATGAGGTGCAGTGATGGATATAAGTCTGCGAATAAAAGTGTGATCCAGAAAGATCCACGGTGATTTTTTTCAGACTCAGAGAACGGATTCAAACAGCATTTTGAGTCGATTAAGAATCCATATTTTTTGAGGTACACCTGGTTATGATGACCGCAGATGGTGGAGAGGCATTCAATCTACTTTGTACGCAGGGTCGAAACTCGTCTTTCAATGTGTGGTAGCTCGTCAACTTTCAAGAAGCATGGCTGTTTCTTTTGGGTCGTTTTGTGGCAAACTTCTGGGCCTAAACTGCAGGAGCCAAGTGCAAAAGCTGAAATAATAAAAGACCAGCTATTAAAATTTCAATCAGTATCTGCCTCTGCATCATCTCTAGCCCATTTGCATACAAAATATGCTCTCTATTACCCGTTTTTTTCTTAAGTCAATTTAGATGAGATATTTTCTTTCTCATCTAAATTTTCTCACCACATATTTCCTGTCTCTGTATTAGATTATATAAAATGAATATTATTGCGCAATCGTTCATCCTAATCTTCGAGTATCAGAAATGTGTACGTGACATTTACCTTCATTTTTGAACCCAGGAGTGCCAGAGTGTGATCCTCTCGAGTGCTGCTCTGCGCTGGCTGGACCCATCCGCGGGAACTGCCGTGTATGTACGCGATGGCCTTTGTTTTGCGCGCTGAGACTCATGGCTAAAAGTAAGAGCATTTGGCCGAAGCAGCAAAGTGCCACATCCTACAACGTACCTCTCGTGCAAGGCAAAAACTATTCACTGAAAACACGAACGCGTGACACGCACACTGACCAGACGACAACGCAAATCCAAGAACAGGCTGCATGCTTCCATCTGTCGTCTGATTATATCCGCAGACGATTATAGGGTATAGTATGCAGGAACCGTGTGGAGCACAAATGCAAGCACACTGTGCGCGGTAGTCACTGTGCAAACAAATAGGAAAATTGCTGTCGAGAATGAACTTCAAAAATTATTTTATTTCTAAAAACAAAAAAATGTAAAGATAAAACTTGTCAAATAAAAAAACCAACATATGAGATTCCTTTACAGGTATTAAGGTGATTTTTACATGGGCCACCACATGGTGTAAAATCCGTCTTAATGCAGTGCGAAATACTCATTAAAAATGCCAAATTTTCCCGCAAGATTGACGCTGCTAAGTGGTCAAAAAATATTTTAAACAAAAAGTACATGTTTCAAAGAGTTAGCATGAATTACTTAAATAGTCATCTAGAGGTTCAAGTCACGCAGAAAAAATACAAACAAATGGCATTTTTGCAAAATTTGTGGACGCGTACATGGCAAAAAAAGTGATGATGATGATGATGTTTGGTGCTTTGTGGTGCAAGGTCCATTTGATGACCAAAGAACACCAGTTCGTGGGGCAATAGATGGGAACAATGATTGTGATTAGCGGCTGTATAAGGGCCTTAAATTCCTCACTCTAAGGCGGGTAAAAACATAGAAGTAATAAAATCATGACCATGCCATGAAAAGTGTATGGTGTTAATGGATGATGAAAGTTTGTGATAATAAAAAACCATGGTGGGCATGTATGGCAGAAGCACTAGTGCCTTGATCGTTCACACCCTTGCGTCCAATGGCCGTGAGGCAGGTGCTTTGTTTAGTGTAGCCAGCGCAGCGGAGATCTCTCTGGAGACATCGTGTTACGGAATGCCCGGGTATATATGAAAAGTCCCAACATCTTTTAAAAAAGCTAACAGCGATTTATGCGTGAAAAGTGGTTCCCTACCAACGAACATTGCAGGATGTAGTGGTATGTGTTGTCGGTAGGGTAATGGAAAGTGTTGTCTTCTCAGCGTGTCTAATTCTTTACACTGTATTAGAATGTGAAGTACGGTGAGTGCTTCCCCACATCTGTCACACGAAGGTGGATCGCCCCAGATAAAAGAAATGAATGTGTTGTGTGTGTGTGTATGTCCTGTTCTTAAGCTTGTAATTATTACTTCTGTGTGGCGTAATTTTGATACTGGCGGCCAACGGCTAAGTAGCGGCTTGATGACATGCAATCGATTGCCTGTGTGTGTGTCCCATTTGCTCTGCCAATAAACTCTGAGCTTTTATTTTAAAAAAGGTTTCAAGTCGAGTGCAGGAATTGGTATCGATGTATTGGTAGTGGTTTTGTAGGCGGATCCAGCTAGCTGGTCCACCAGAACGTTGCCTTGTATTTTAAGGTGTCTTTGCACCCAGCAGACTACAACATGCTGTTTGGATAAGTATACTAGCTGTGCATAAGAGCATATGAAGCGAGACAAAAACAGGGTTTTTTGTGCCATGTAGTCACAAAAAACAGGGTTTTTTGTGACTACATCCACCCTTCTATTTTTTGGAGCCAGACAGTTGGGTGCGGGCCGCAGTTCCATTCTGTCAGTGCTACATAAATTCATTCAGGCAACCGCAAGAATACGCTGCTAGTGGTACTGCCAGATATATCTAATTCTCGGTCACCTTTTTTCATTTTCGCTAATTTGTTTTAAATATTCTGGCTTATGTAATTCTTCTGCCCTTTTAAGCTATTTATATTTGATTTATATTGTTCTTATGAAGTTTCTCTTTTTTTGAGCAAGCGTTTTGTAAACAAATCACAATATAATCTGCGGTGAGGTCAATCTCTCTTGTGTGTATGAGCCAAGATCTTCTAGGTGATAAGACAAGTCAAGAGTCGTCGAGTTTAATGGATCGCAGAGCGACAGACTTCAGTTGCACTGTGGTGGCCAGCTGCCAATCGGGAGCGTGGAGCAGACTTGTGAGGTCCAGTTCACCGTTTGACCCGTTGTTCTGTTTATCCACCCATGTGACACCGGGACCCTTGGCCTTTTTGACAACGGCTTGGTGGGTATCTCGTTGGTGAGCTGCAGCAGCTCCGGGCTTACCGAATGAAGTAGAGGCTGCGCAGGTGAGGAACTGCAACGCTGTTCAGGTTCTCCCAGTAGTTGCACTTCTGACACAGAAGTTTGGCAAGCTCGGCGAACATCTTTTGCTCACCCTGTCTATCTGTTCCCTCGACCACCAGCTCCAGTTTAGCTATATCCGCTACCACAGCCTGCAAGTAACCGGCAGCGGAAGCCTCATTCAGGAGGTCTTTGCGGCACTCGAAGTTTCGCCTTCGTTTGTTGTGAAGAGCCTCTAACTTTTATTTTGCAGCAAAACGTTTTGCTGTTTCAGACTGCAAAAAGTGATGAAGACGTTCGGACTCCATCAAGGTGTCTTCACTGCAGCCCTGGAGTAACTTGACAGTCTTAGCCATCTGCTGCTTCCAGATCTCCTTCACCACGCTGGCACGAATGATGTTCTAGTTTTCCCAGATCTGCCTAATGATCTTTGCTCGCGCTGCATAGATCTTTCTCGCCGCGTCAAGGCAGTAGGCCGTCCTGCTGTCGTCACTGGGCTCGTTCACCTCGACGCTCGGAGAGAGGACGGGCGTCGTTGACAGGGCATCGTTATGCGAAGCTGGAACGTTGCTGCCGGCGTCAGTAAGTTGATCTCAGATCAGGGAATCCTTGGCCGTCGAGACTCTGTTTGAGCTGGACCACCTGGATCTCGAGCTCCGACTTTTCGTTTTCTGCCTTGTCGAGCTTGCGCTGAAGGCCTTCCACCTTTTGCTTGTATTCCTCTATGAGGGAGCTGTACATCAGCGTGTGTGCGTTGACGTTGATGACATTTTTTTGGGCCTGCAGCTTGATCTTCATGGCGCGCTCGGCATACTTAAGAGTGTTGTGGGTGTCGGTGTAGCTGAGCTTGGACGGTGACACGGCTGCAATCAAGAGCGTGCGACCCGTGCCACCCAGAGAGTCTTTCAGGATGTGGGTCAGCTTAGAATCCCGGTACGGAACCCGCTTAGCCCCACCCTTGGAGAGGGCATCAATGCAGTTGCCCTGAACCAGAAGCGACAGGTTTATTTTGGTGCCCTCGCGTATCCGGTTCTTGATGTCTTTTTCACGGCAGCTACACGCTCCGAGCCGGCTAGGTTGACAAAGCTCATCTTGGAGACGCGAATGCCCTTGCTCATGCTGGTCACGTTCTCCGTCTGCGTGACGTAAACCTGAAATATCGCATGGGACCGCGACGACTCCGAGTTGGCATGGGTGGCGTGCTGTGTGCTGTTCCTGTTGCCTATCAGGAGGAACTCGAACAGTGCCCCAGACTCCTTCACCTTGTGTATAGAAAGGTTGGAGATGGCAATGACCTTGGCTGGGTCGTCGCGCATGACCAACGATGGTCCTTTGGGGCACATTAGGTCGCGTATGACCTCGTTTTTTTCATGTAGGCGACCGCCATGTCGCATGACTGGCCCTCGGAGCGGAGCTTGCCCACGCGGCGGTAGAGCTTGCTTGCTGTCAGGGAGACCACCCCGGGACGATCCTCGCAGCCCAGCATCGTGAACGTCTTGCTGGTTCCGGTTGCACCGTACGCGAAAATGGAGCAATTGCAGTCATCAAGAAGCGTCGTCAGCATCTCTTTGGTGGTGCGCTCAAATACGTACTGATTGTCCTTATCTTCACCAAAGACCTGATCAAACATGAAAGAGTTCGAAGCCCGCGCATGTCCGCTGCCCTTGAAAGATAAAGGACTCGGCTTCGGCTTTGGGGTCTAACATGAGGCACCGATTGTCACCCACGCAGACGATGCTGGACGTCTCTGAATCACGCTCGTTTAGTGGGCGCACCCTCACGGCCACGTTCACGCGCGCCCCGGGCGACGGCGGGTTGTTGCCAAAGCGGCGGCATTTCGGAGCCGACTTCGCGGTGTCGGTGGAACGCCACTTGTCGTTCTGCAGTGGTGCTACTGTCGATGCTTCGGTGGCTTCGACAAAGGAAGCTCCTTGCAGGTCCTACGGATGTCGGACTGCGCTCTCCGCGATTGGAATGGCTGACATGGTGCGCTGGTCTGCTGAATGATCGCTGCGTGTTATGGTAGGTTTTTTGCGTGTCTATCGTGTTCAGTGCACGCGCCTCTCGTGTTCAATGCACGTGGTTGGTTGGTTGTTTGGTTGGACCCAAAAGGATTGGTTCAACCTACTAAGAAGATCGGCCATGAATCGCGCGGCATTGGTATCTGGAAAAAAAAGAGAGGAGGGGGATGCCTAAATAATTCTTATATAAAAGCTTAGCTGTGCTAACAGACTAAACTGAATTGTTGAAAATTAGAACAAATAAACATAAAATAGAAAATAAATAAAAGTACAGTGTAAATGTATAGGTTAGACTAATTACAAAAATAAATAATGAGTATGTACTTATGAGGCTACCATGGTAGCCGTTTTGATTCGCGTGTTCTATGCACGTTGTGTTGCTGAATAAACAGCGAAATTCATGATTCACATTATCGCTTGGCGAACATAATATTTAAATATAAGCACCATCATTTGGAATCACTAGTTCCTTGAAAGACTGCTCTGCGTGCATGCATTTTGATAAGACATCATTTAAAACAAATAGGCGCTGTCTCGTTCTGATATGTGTTCCTCCTCAAGGGTTTTTCAGCCAGTGCTATATATTAAAATTTTTTTTGTAGTAGAGCCTTGACTTTCTCTTTTTCGCAGAGCAGGGATCGAGTTTTGTAGTTATCAAATGAGACAAGTCATAAGGACAATTAGTGTCATAAAGACATGGTTAAAAAGGCTGTAAAGTGTCCAGGATGCGGAGTGAGTTTGAAAATGAACCCAAGTGCAGAAGCGAATTGAGAAGAGGCTGACGCGAAGTGTAGACAATTTGAGATCGAGAAAAAATAACGATGGTTGCCCAGAGTGAACTGCTGTTGAGAATCATCGAGCTGGATACTGCGTTGGCGAATGATTAAGAAAAAACGAGGGCAATGGGAGAAAGCCTGAAGTCCGCCGAGGAAGCACTAGCCAAGGTGAACAAAGGAGTGGCCTACAGAGAGAACAGTAGGACACTGGCAACCAGAATGGCGGAGAAAAAAGAGCTGGCAAGTTTGGAAAAAACTGGTTCAGCCGGTACAATTGTCGCAAGGCCCAGCTTCAGTAAAGAAGTGGCAGAGCTGGGAGGGGACAGAGCAGCCAGGTTCGCAGGTGCAAGTAACCCCCAGGTGCAGTACGCTACATCTGAAAATTCACAGCAGGTGATAATTGCTAGAGACTCGAATTTAAATCGAAGCACAGAAGCAATCAAAGAGAGGGTAAAAGGTGACAAGAGGGTCGCAGTAAGGACTTTCCCAGGTCGCAAGCTGGAAGCAGTCATGAGGCAAGCGAGCGCAAAACTCAAAACTACAGCTGATCGACAAAACCTCGTGATAATTTCAGGTGGTTTAAACGATGCCTTAAAGGAAGATACGGTAGGACTAGCGACCACACTGGCGAAAGGGGTCGATGACATGAGCGCCATTTCTGCCCAGGTACAGGCAGTTATATGCACGATACCGGAGGTACCGGTGCGTGACGGCAACCTGCAAAGATGGTTGTCAACGCAAATCAAGAATTATGGCAAATGAGTCGAGAGAAAGGCTTTAAGGTGGTGGAAATAAACAGATAGGTGCAAAGGTGGGGTGGTTTTCAACGAGACAGAATTCACTTCGATCAGCGGTTAGGTCATGTGGTGGGTTGGTAATTCGCAGGACGCGCAGTAGCTTTTTTTTGGCGGGGGGGGGGGGGAGGGGCACGCAGGTTCTTCAGGGTGCAGGATAGCTAGTAACGAGAAAAACAACCAGGGATACTCTTTGACAGGTGGTGTGGACAGATACGATTCTAAAATGGCACCAGTATCTAAGATAGGTAGAGTCCGGGGCAAAAAGAGACGTAACCACGAGTGCCGAGTCGCTTCAGACATAGGGTATATTAACGTGCAGTGTGGCAGGAATAGACTGAAGTGCGAAGATATAGAAGAACAGCTAAGAGAGGAGACGCCGATGGAATACGGTTTTGTAGAAACACATCTTCTGGACATGGAACAACCCCCTAACATACCGGACTACGCGTGGGAATATTGTAATAGAACAAATAGTAGCTGAAAGGGGGGTGGTATTGGGGCATTCGCTCATAAAAGCACAGACTAGCAAAGGGTCAAGCAGGAGTGCAAGGAACATTTATGGCTAAAAGGGAAAGTGGCAGGGCAAATGACCCTCCTTGGTTTGGTGTACTGGTGGACGGGAGCAAATGCCAGAGTGGAAAACCAGGCAATGGTAGAGAGTATATAAAAGGACATTGAGGAGTTAGGAGGAGAGTGCGAGATTGCTATACTTACAGATAGGAATGCGAACATAGAAGATATAGATGGGTATAGCAACCCAACAGGCAAAATGATCATGGATATGTGCAAACGACATGATTTGATCATTTGCAACAGTACCGAGAAGTGCGAAGGGCAAATAACGCAGTGATGTCACATACGATGTATGATAAACTCAGGGGAATGCACATAGATGAAGCTGCCTCCAGAAGTCTCAGTAGTGATCACAAGCGTATCAAGCTAAGTTTTGGAAGAGTAGTGAAAGTGGGAAGGAAACAAGATGAGCAACTACAGGAAAATTTTTATTCAGAAAGGCAAGTAGAAATAGCTACTAAACAAATTGAGAAAGTAATCACTGAGGATAATAAAACAGTGGGAGCATACACGAATCTAATTAAACTGTATGAGCTATAGCTTGCTAAGGCAGTTGACAAGTCACCCCGGAAAAGAAGACACAAACAAAGAGTTGGTGGGATGGGGAAGTCAAGAGAGCCATAGCAAAATGTCAGGAAGCCTCTAGGGAACACAGACATGCTAAGCAGTGGGGTGAACCGACAAATAATGTTGAAACACCATTAGAAATCTTTCTAAGCTGTACAAGGGATGCATCCCTTCTGATCGATGAAAAGACTAGAAGAAAGGGAGCCCAGTGGCTGGCAGAAGTACATAAAAAAGATTGAAAGGCAGCTGTAAAATTTTAGAACCATCTAAACTCCCTTAGAAATGAGACGAGCCTAGAGCACATGTTTAAAGCTACAGCTCAAGGTGCTTGGATAGAAGGGGACGAAGCTATTGAATATAGAAGAACAAGGGTGACAAAAAAATTTCAACAAAAAAGTGCTTTATGCACCACAATAGACAAGGATGAATCAAGTGGCGCAATGGCTCCATGTTCACAACGAGAGTGGGAAAGGGCTGAGAAGAGGGTTCCTAGTAGTAGATCAACAGGCCCAGATGGCATTCCAATTATGCTGATAAAGACATTAGGTCTGAAGTTTATGCAGGCTTTGAGAGAGGCAGTAAGCAAAATATTAATAGATGGTGAAGTCCCCGATAGATGGAAACTTAGCAGGATGAGCGTGATCTATAAAGGAAAGGGGGGCAAAGCTGACATAAACCACTACCGTCCTTTAACAGTGACATTAGTGGTCTGCAGGCTGGCGATGGAGATTATAAAGGAAAAACTGCAGGCATGAATAGAAGATGAGGGGGTGCTGGGGAAATTGAAGAATGGGTTTCTAAAACACAAGAGGTTGGAAGACAATCTGTTCTCACTGACGCAGTACATCGAAATAGCAGAAAAGGAACACATGCCCCTGTGGCTAGCATTTTTGGATATCAAGGGAGCATACGATAGCGTGGTTCAAGAGGATTTGTGGGGAATGCTGGACACACTAGGTGTGGAAGATGGAGTCACTAATCTTTCAAACGATATCCATAAAGGTAACAAGGCAGTTATAAAGTCAGAAAAGCAGGTATCCAAGCTTACAGAAGTAAAACAGGGGCATAGGCAGGGGTGCCCCTGTGAGCCTTGTTATTCATGATGTACCTACAAGGATTAGAGGCCAAACTAGAGGGAAGTGGACTGGCTTCAACCTCTTTTTCATCAAACAAGGAAAACTCATTGAATAGGCGCTACCAGCATTGATGTACGAAGATGATATAGTGCTAATTACAGACAACACGGAAGATTTGCAGAGATTGATGGACATCTGCGGTAATGGGGGAAATAGGTTAGATTTCAGATTCAGTAAGGACAAATCAGCAGTCATAATTTTAATGATAATGAAGGCAGTGAGACTAGAATACAGTATTTCACGCTAGAGATAACAGATAAATAGAAATATCTGGGAGTATGGATAAGCAATGGGGCCGAGTACCTAAGGGAACACGAAATATACGTCACTACTAAAGGTAACAGGAATGCAGCGATGATGAAAAACAGGGCACTCTTGAATTACAATAGGTACGAGTTTGTGAGAAAAATACGGAAAGGGGCAATGATTCCTGGTATGTCGTTGCGGTCTTGTGCATGAGAACACGGCTTGGTGGCGTGAGCCACCGCCCCATCTAAAGGGTACAGCCATATCAATCCATCCATTCATCCATACGTCACCCGGGGCAGCGTTGTGCTGCGCAGAGACGGGTGTCCAACGCGCGCGCGGGCGATGTGAAACATTTAAAAAATATATATTTTTTGCTCGTGCATGGCCTCAAATGGCGACTGAGAAAATATGTTAATTAGCTTCTGGAAAACAGGGACGCCTACGCGGGTGCGTGACTGAATTGAAATATGGTCAGGTCGACAGGATGCCGAAAGTGAGCGCGGGATGGCACTGAAACATTTTATCGATGTGAAGAAGTAGAAGAGTGGAATGATGAACTCAGTTGTGAGCCATTTCTTGGAACACCTCCCACGGCGAACCATCATTTCCTCAAGCAATAATCTGTCAATAAAACCCCATCATTCATAACGTCATACTCAGAAACAAGAGTCACGAGCGTTATCTGGATGAAAACCTTTTATTTTCTGCACACAGGTCATACAATGCATTTCCGAGTAGTGACTCACTATCTGTTTACAACAATACATTCTTAATAATTGGTGGCACGTCCTTTTTTAATACCCAAGAAAAAAGTTTTCTAG